TTTTTTTTTTTTTTTTTTTGCAGTACGCGGGCCTCTCACTGTTGTGGTCTCTCCCGTTGCGGAGCACAGGCTGTGGACGCGCAAGCTCAGCAGCCATGGCTCACGGGCCCAGCGGCTCCGCGGCGTGTGGGATCTTCCCGGACCGGGGCACAAACCCGTGTCCCCTGCATCAGCAGGCGGGCTCTCAACCACTGCGCCACCAGGGAAGCCCCCAACAACATTTTTTAATGCTTAATTGCTGATGGGGTAAGTTGAACGGGAGGGTAAAAATATGTTTTGAAAACTGATTAATTCAATGTAAAAAACTATTCAAGAAATTTTTTAAAAAGAAGTGTGTTTTCAAAATTAAATTAATTTAAAAAATAATAATAAAAATAATTTTAGTTTACAAAAAAAAAAGAAGTGTGTTTCATATGTAGCAAACTGTATATTCAGGTAATTTATAATCATTTAATGTATATAGTTTTTTTTCTTTATCCGAAACATCATAATGTTCAACTATGCCATTAGTGTGTGTCTTCTGAAATACCTGTGGAAGAAAGCCCCCTCTTTTCAACTAAGTCCTCATATATGTAGGTATTTTACCTGATTTGTTATATGGGAGAAAATGATAGGGTTTTTTTTTAAAGATTTTTTTGATGTGGACCATTTTTAAAAGTCTTTATTGAATTTGTTACAATATTGCTTCTGTTTTATGTTTGGTTTTTTGGCCACAAGGCATGTGGGATCTTAGCTCCCCAACCAGGGATCGAACCGGCACCCCCTGCATTGGGAGACGAAGTCTTAACCAATGGACAGCCAGGGAAGTCCTGAAAATGATAGCTTTTTAATTGGCCCTCACCAAAGATCCACGATGAGGGATCTATGGTTGGCAAAAACTGTTTCACAAAGAACAATGGGAAATTAAAAAAATTTTTTGAATCTTAAAATATTTAATGTTCCATCTCCTGTGGAAATAAATCAGTAGCTATTGGATTGCTTTCTCCCGCTTATAATAGTTCTTTGAAATAAAGTACATTCTTGGCAACTCATGATTGCGTTTCTAGATGTCTATCAGAAGCACAAAAGATTTATTGTCTCCTGTAGGTAACTGTAGAATTCTGGAAAGAACCCCTTGGCAGGTTGTAGGAGGTCAGTCTGTGAAACCCCCTTCTCTGAGCACAGAGGAGGCTTACCTCTCGCAGAAAGTGTGCAGACAGGGGAGAACCTTGGGATTCTTGTACCTTTCCAGGCATATACTGCAAATCAGAAACTGCTTGTCAATCTGGCGCACCACAGGACTTGGGATGTTGGTGGCTTCACTTGCCATCCTAGACCACTGACATGGGGGGCCGGCTGTCTTTGACCCTGCACGCTGACGCTGTCAGACAGAAAAACCAAAACGGAAAAACATATAATAATCTGCAAATGCAAATCAATCATTGGTTTATTCGCTAGAGGCATTGTGTTATGAATACAGGTAGAATTCCATGTTGTGACCTTGACATGACTATAACCAATCCTCATCGCTATAGAGGGTGTACAGTGAGGGGCCTGTTTGTTGATCAATAAAGTAATCACAGGTTCAGCATGCAAAGAAAACAAATTAGAAGGTATGTTGTACAGAGAGGTAGCTTGCTGGGAGACTCACAGATATAGAGAACAAACTAGTGGTTACCAGTTGGGGCAGGAGGGCGATAGAGGTGGGGGAGTGAGAGGTACAAACTACCGGGGGTGAGACAGGCTCAAGGATGTGTTGTACAACATGGGGAATAGAGCCAATATTTTGAAATAACTAAATGGAAAGTAACCTTTAAAAATTGTATTAAAAATTAAATTACTGCAAGAAACAAAGGAGAGGTAGCTTGCTGGGTTTCAAAGTGGGAGCAGCTTAAGGGATAAATACTTACATAGTCCTGCCTGTTCATGCCTCCAGCCATGACTATATCTGAATATATATATATATATAGTCTTATTATAGTCTATATTAAATAGAATAGTCTTACTAGGATAGAATGTGTTTTCCCAACTATTATACTTGAAGGGGGTCAAAATATACCACCCCCAAATAAGCCACTTTGATATAAGGATTATTCTGAGCTGAAGGTGATTGAGAAGCAGCAGATGAGGAAGAGCCCTCTCCCTCTGCCATCTGCCTAAAAGCAGGACACACATTTCCCATTTGTAAAGGTGCCCCACTCTCCCATACCAGGAAGAGAAGAAGACTCTTAATCACCAGAGAGGAGTATGCATAACAAACCTTACTAAACCACCCTTATCTACCATACATATCCTGGTCCTCTTCCCACAATTTACTGCCCCTTGGAGTCCAAACTCCCTTTTCCTTTGTCTAGCCAATTCTCCATAATCTGTGGTCTTGGGTCTAATGGCCTCTTCTTTTCTGTGAAGTCCCTATGCATGTAAAATTTAAAATAGTAAATCAATGAAGTTTAATAAAATATATATTTTATTTTGGAAAAATGAAATATCAGTAAAATGTGTATACCTTTTTTCTCCTGATATCTGTCTTTTGCCAGTTTAATTCACAGGCTTCAGTTATAGAACTTAAGTGTATAGAAGAAAAGTGTTTCCTTCCCTACATACTGTTAATATCCAGGAATGAAATAATTAGAATTTTTCATTAAAAACTTTGTATGGGGTTCAGAGTATTTTCTTCAGAAATGGAATGGGGACAAAAGCTAGAGGTAGTCTCTATTATTTTAAGAAATGTCTGTTGGTATTCGCATGTGGGTGTCTGAGGGCCTGGTGAGTGACTTAATTCAGAGGAGGTTTCAAAATGTGAAAGGTCAGGCCAGAAAATGAGAATTGGAAGAGGGTAACAGAGAAAGCAGAGGGCTTATGAAAGAAAAAGGGAGGGAGAAACTACAACATAAAACACAGCTCCATTTATCACATTAAAGAATTTCTGGCTTGTATCCCAAAGGGGTGAACCAAAGCTGAGCTAAAACTCACTACCTAATTTTCTAAATATTTGGTAAGGTGTCCACAGCCTCTTAATTCCCAGTGGAAATGCTCTTTCCAAAAAAAAAGTAGTTAAGGTTCAATATGACCCTAGGCAGGAAGTAGTATTAGTCCCATTCTATAGATTTTTAAAAACCAAGGCTCAGTTAGGAAGTTTGCCAGAATGCAAAACCCATGACCTTTTCACCCCTTTAACAACCACAACCCTTGATCTTGGGTTTTCAGAAAGCTGTGCTATGGAAGCTTGGTTTACATATAACATTTTAACTTGGCCTGGGACCTGTGTTTACAGAATCAACAATTCCACATTTTCTAAAGGAAACACACTTCCAAATATAAATGATGGTCTTCTTTCTCCCCCACCAAATCACCAACTTCTAAAAAAGCCTGTCAACTTTTCTCCAGAAAATTCTGCTATTTACACATATTGGAGTATAGTTACAAACATGACACACCCCTTTTTCCAACTCTGTGCCTTCTAGGTAAGTTCTCTAAAGAGCACGATTAATAAACAGATCAAGCTTGTAAAAGCACCTGCTGTACAAGAGTGTCACGTTCAATCGGAACTCCATGCATTAGTTAAACAGCGTAGGTGTGACATAGCTAATTAGCCAGCATTATCTGCTAGACTCTCATAGACTGTCTTCCTAAAGAACCAGCGTAGAGAATGATACCCACTGACTGGATTAAATGCAGCTCTTCTCTCAGGAGCTCAAAATGTTGGCACATTGTCTGCTTTTCTTTAACTGCATCCCTAAGACATCAGCATAGGGAAGGAATGGATTTGTCTGGCTTTAAGATAAGGAAACCAAAGCTGAGGGTTTAAATGACTTGCCCAAGGTCATCCAGTAAAATCGGTGAATCAGATAGCTCGGATTTCAAGATTTCTGCCTTATCTGATAAGCTGATGTTACCTAATCTTAAGCAAGTTTAACACTTTCCTGGCGTGTGTGTGTGTGTGTGTGTGTGTGTGTGTGTGTGTGAGAGAGA